GAATACTCCTCTGCCTCACTTTTAGCAAACAAGTCCTGCTCTCTCATTAGTAATTTCAAGGTAATGCTCCTATTTTTATTACTATTAACAACAGTTATTTGTATTAGTTACGCCTGGAGACACCAACCAAAATGAGGGCCCTCACATACAAGGAATGGTACAAACAGATGGTGAGAAGGCACCTGTTCTGAAGAGCTGGCAGCCTAAATAGAGAAGATAAAGGGTGAGACAGGAAAGAGAGACACAAAGGTGAAGTGACGTACCCAGAGTCATTCACAGGCTATGCCTGGAATAGAATCCAGGGCTCCTGTCTCCTATATTAGTCCATGCTCAGAACCTCATTTTTGCTTAATTACTACTAATACTGTTTTTGTGAGTTATCTTGATTCTCCATCGGCAGCTATAATATGTTAAGCTGCATAGAAGCCACACTGACAGAGTACAAGTCCTTTTTCTTATTTTGGCAAGACTCCTCATGGAATCACTTCCAAATTGGTGAGAGATCAGATTTAAGGCCTGGCCTAAACTTAAAAACATTGAAATCATTTCAGTGTTCAGGAGTGTGAAAAATTCAGATCCCTGAGTTGCAAAACTATATTGACCTAAATCTCCAGTTCCTGTTGATCTAACTAGCTCAATGGAACCATGCCTCCTTCAACCTAGTTACCATTACTCAGGGTACGGCTAGACTGGGGGGGGAGGGGTTCAGGATACCAGAGGTATTCCAAAAAAACCCTCCACCGTGTCCAGGGAACCCATGTGCTCTTCCGCTTTTTTTTTTTTTTTTTTGCAGAAGAGCAAATATGCTCTTTCAGAAGTCCCTGTATACCTTGTTCCACGAGGAAGAAGGGGGCTTTCAAAAGAGGTGGAGTTTCCGGAATTTGGCCCAGTATAGATGGGCCACATTTTGGAAAAGCCTCTTCTGACAAAAGTATCTGAAAATGATTCTAGCGGTCTAGACGTACCCTTAGCGTTAGACTACAGCAACTGAGGGTTTTTTCCATTGTTGAACTATTTCTACACTATGGCCATAGAGGACATAGAGTGTGTAACAGTGTCATGGTAGTATTTGTAGTGTAGCCATGACCCACCGCCCTAATGCAACGTTGCAACCTGATGCAGCCGAACATTTAATCTGTAGCATGTCTTCCCCCAATAGACTTAAATGCATGCTTTTGCTTAATTGGGGCTTTATGCCTCTTTAGAAAAAGGTATCTCGCTTAATAAATTACTGTAATGATGTGCTTTGTCTGAATACGTCTCCTCTGGTGCTTGCAGGGTTAGAGCCATGATTTAAGGTTGCTTTCAGAAATCTCGATGACAGTTCTTGGATCTGTTGCTCTTCATTTCAATTAAACAATGACTAAACTTGGGGGATTTCCTGAGATTAACAATTTGTTGGAAGGAGTTGATGATTTGAGGCATAACTCAGGGCAGTTAACTCCAGTAAGGGCAGCTTTTTGTTTCTGTTATAAAGGGTATGTGGAGGGGGGTGCAGAAGAATCATAGGCACATAGGTAGTTTCCTTGGATAATGTAGTTTCGACTGTTTTGTACCAAGCATTTGTTATACTGTACCAAGTTGCTCTCCTTTCCTGACATTCTATTCGGCTTACAATAAGACATGTAAACCTCCATTCCTTAGAATCTTTTCAAAACTTAAGTTGATTCCTTTTGTTGCTATTGATCGCTGCTCAGCTTCTTTTAAATCATCAAAAGAACTAGACTCTCAGAAATGTGCTGAAGGTTTAAACTTAAAAAAAATTCTCTCTGGCCGTTAGTTTAGACCATGGTTTATCTGTCTTAGTGTGTTTTTTTTTAAATGGTGACTTACTTTCCTGCTTATTTTTTTAAAGTGCCTTTCCAGAGCATGGTACAAAATGCTGTATGACTATTTGCTTTCTCCCTCCCCCCAAAAAGCTAAACATTAAATAAGCTTTGTTGGCTTTTATTCCCCATCTTGCTGCCTGTTTCATTCTGAGTGACGGGGAGGCCCAGAAATGCTCTCCTTCTTACCTCAGTCAGAATCAAAAGGGTGAAACAGAGCATCTGCTCTTCCTATCTACCATTCTGGGTGGTGGTTTCCTTCCGGGTGATGACAGAGTGCATGTTACATAGAGCTTCTGTTCTCACTTCTAGAGTAACTGGAGACAGATATATCTAAGGTTAAGCAGTGACTTAGTAGCCTGAAAAATGTCACTTGAGCAGAACAAATAGAACAGACTGCAAGTGCCCATGTCATGACAGCCATTGCCTTCTCCCTCCTCCATTTCTCAGAGGTGGCCAGTCAAAGGAGGGTGGACATGCTGTAATTCCCATGTGCTTTGGGGAAGTCTAAGAGGCATTATGTCTTCTGGAGAGGCAATGTTCCCAGAGTTCCCTTTGGGGGATGTGTGACTATGCTGTTCTTAATGTAGGATTCGTGCAAATGTTATGTGCTTGGCAGCAATAGCCAGAAAGTTCTAGCTTGTCAATGGGCAGCAAAAGACTAACTCCCCCCCCTCCCAAAAAATACATGGCACACTTGGAGAAGCTTATATTTCCTCCCCAAATACTTTTCTTTTGTTGCTAATACTGGATATGCTGTAGTTTTATAGTGCACTTTACTGGGAACATTCTGGAAAAAGTCAGAACTCACTGGGTGGATTGCTTCAGTATTTTACTTCTGAATACGGCGTTCATATACCTGAATCTTAACATATTGTGCCACCACCACATGTCACCTGATTACGTAGCACTGACTATAGAGTTCAACACTCTGAACTTGCTCTTAACAGGTTAATAGTTGTGAGCAGGAGCGTGACCAAATAAAGCAAGGTGCAGTATGCATGAAGTCTTTTAAACTAGAATGTCCAGGTATGGCTGTCAACACAAGTGACAGCAGACGGTCCATGTATGACTATCTGAATGTAGACTAGGTACAACAGAGTACTACATCACCAGTTACGCTTACACAGAAGCCAGAGTGTGTAAAACACTATTTGAACCCACACTAGATTACTGAATTTGACAAAGGAAGAGTTGGGCCCTGCCCGCTGACTCTGTGCAAACACAATAGCTGTCTTTGTGCAGGATGCCACAGTGCATGCCATGTCACAGAGAGCAGCAATAAATAGTGAACTTTTCCCTCTTTTTAATATAGCATATTAACATACAAAAACATAAATCCTTGGTTAAAATGTTCTTTTAACTCTTTTGTCTTGTTAGAGAAGAATCACTTGCCTCTTCAGTTGATCAGAATGTTTCGCCTTGTTTAGAATAACTCGTTATTTTAAAAAATATCCTAGAAAAGTAAAGAGCCTCAGATCATAACACTGATTGATAAGCAAATAATGTAAAATTTCCTTCAGGCCTCAAGATAATTTACATAAACACAAATTATGACATCAGTTCTTCAAATTGTGCATGCTTAATTTGATGTACTGTGCATGTCCTAATAAATTGAATTAAGCAGAGTAGTGGCCTACATACATACAAAACAAAAATTACGTTAATTGCAAAAAGTTGTAATTTTAAAACATGGGTCAGCTATTATGTTCCCAGAATAATATAATTAATTCCTTAATCTAGGACATGTATTTAACATATTCAACTATTACTGTATATCTAAAAGTACTTATAAAATATACTAGATTTAGCCAGTATGGCTCAGGTTCTTAAACAAAAATTACTTGAGTTGGGTTTTTTTGGAAAAGAAAATGTGCATGCTTCATTTAAATCATTGCTTTGGGGTGGGGCTGGCGATGAGTGGTTGAGTTTGCAGGTTGCTTGGGGGAGAGAGGACTACCCCAGCCCCCTCTCACCACAGCAGCTTGGGGCCAGGTAAGAAGTGCCTCACCTGACCTTTGCAGCTCCAGCAGACATAGCTGGGGCAAGTGTGTATGTCTCCTGGAGCAAGTCTAGGTTCATCTGCCTCTACTCCCCCTTTCCCCCTGCCAGAGTGAGGAATGCAGCAAACTATGCACTTTCTCCTTGCTCCCTGACAAAAAGGACAAACAGCCAGCAATGTTCACGTACAAATAATGGGGGGGGGGGAGGGGGGGAGGGCGTTTGGGGCAGTCCTGGGGAAAATAGGCATCTCCATCCAGCCTCTTTCGCTTGCCTGGTGATTCTGTCTTTTTTCTGTATGGTTTTATGAAAAGCAATCCCATTCCAGGCACTTCCTATTTTCCTGGTAAAACCAAATCCTTACTTTGCCTTAAGTTATGATAGAGAAAGCTGTATGCCGAACTTGGTGCTCCTAGCTCTTATTGTTTAGGAGTTCTTGAACACACAGACTCTCAAATATATTGTAGATTGTGTACATGTGATGTTACTTACTCTACTATTTTCCTTTCCTTGTTTGTAGAAATGAATGACAAATTAAACATACTTAATACATTTATTCATTACATAATGGAACCATTTTGTTTATGCATATTGTTAGTATTTTATACTCATGACAGCTTTGGAGCATTCACTTCATTGGAAGGATGAGGTTAAGGGAGAGGTGACTTCACATCTTTGTTGTTACTAATGTTAGATGGGAAGAGTTTTCTGCAAGATGGGTTTCTTACGACTTTTCTACACTGACAAGTTACTGTGCTGTAACGGTCTTGCACTAGAGTGTGGAAAAACAATCCCCTGAGCACAGCTAGTTACAGAGCTATAAAGTGTCAGTGCGGACGGTGCTACGTCATTGAGACTATGTCTACATTGCATGCTTCTTGCACAAAAGCGCATCCACAGAGCAGAAGCGCATAGCAAAAACGATGCGCTTTTGCGCAAGAGAGCGTCCAGACTGCATGGATGCTCTCGAAAGAAAACTCTGATCGCTGTTTACAGAATGGCCACCAGGTCACCTGGGCTTTTTTCGATTGCCTCTTTTTGCGCAAAAGGCTCTGTTCCCCGTCCAACCACACCTTTGTGTGCAAGAGCTCTTGCGCAAAAAGGAGTTTAGAAGGAGGAATACCTACAGCAGGAAAAACCCTCGTTCTTTCATTTTACTTGCACAAAAACGCACAGGAGGTATGGACACTCCGAGTTTTTGCACAAAAACTCTATAGTGTAGACCCAGCCTGAAAGCCATGCTCCCAGAGCTGTTAACTGTTCCCCTCATGGAGGTAGTTTACACTTACAAGCATTCTCAGCACTCTACGTAGACAAAACTTTAAGAGTACGTCAGTTTACATTGGGATGGACTTTGTTCATATCTTAGCTTTCCATTTTTCCCTTTTTATATTCCCCATTACGAAGTTACACAATACAGGCACAAACGCAGATATCTACACTTGTTAGTGTATAATTTCTTCCCTCACATGATTGTCTCCTTTTAGTGATGTTTTGTTTTGGAAGAGTTGGCTGTGTCTGACCCAAGACATATGATATGAATCATGTCAATAAATTAATCCTTTTGTTTTGCTTCACTGGACTATCAAAGAGCCAAAAAAAATGTGTACATGTGTTGGGGATGGGAGGATATGTATAGAATGGGATGCTTCTAATTGATTTAAGGGCATTTTCTTTAAATTAAAAAAAAATCATATGTGGTATCAGGCAAACAATGGAAAGCTTTTTACTTTGAAAGAAGAGGGTTTTCTTTAAATAAAAGTTATGGCCAATTGAAAACAAGGTTTATAATTGTGCTCAGTACTAGATATAAACTCAGTATACAGTTCAATATTGTAAATATAGTAATATAGGTTATGTAACTCTTGGTATCAGGTTTCTAGTACTAATACCAGGAGCAAGATCATTTAAAATTTGCTTCGCAAATAGCCTTGCCAGTAAACTTCTTCATAAGAACTTTTCCCAAAAGAAGAAACAACTTATTGCATGTGAGTGAGACAAATATCTCAAATATCTTTGTGAAACTTCTATAATGTAGGTTTCTTCCTGCATATTTTGGCATTTGAGAGTTTTAATTTTGTTGTTTTGATTTTTTATATGCACACGCTTAAGTCTTTGTGATGCCAAACTAAGAAAACATTCCCAATTATTCTCCACTTTCCAAATTTACAGATGTCCCACTCGAGTTTGATTTTCAAAATATATATTTAATTGAATCTTCCTGACTTAAGACAATAAAATGCATCAACCATTGTTCAATACTGAATTATAAAAAGAAACACATACTTTGCACCTAAAATATGACATTGAGACAAACTGTTATAAAATATAGGAAAATAAGTTCGATTTTAATTAAAATTGTCATCATAGGTTAATGTCAAATATAAAATGACAACATATGCATGGTGATCATTTTTTCCTCAGTTAAACTAATGAATCCGATAGTCAGTTACGTGACACAGTAGCATAACTTGGGACTGGCCAAGCATTATAATTACATGTAAGTGTGGCATCCTATGTGTTGCCTTGTTACTGTGTCTGTTTTTAGTTTTTGGATGATGCACTGTAGTTTCTTACTGACCATATATCATTCATATAAAGCACAGGGTTCCTTGTCACATGGCTGTTCACATGGTGCCTGAACAAAAGGCCACAGATTTCAATGGACTTTAGTTCTGACCCAAAATGATGGCACTTTTAATGCAATTAACTAGCTGAAAATAAGGAAAAAGACAAGTTACACAATGACATTTTACAATGTATTTTAACCCATTGCCACAGTTGCCACATGGTGTTACATAATTGTATGCATGGAGGTGGGTTCAAAAAATAGTCTTGTAGTAAATATGGTGCCAACCAGGGAAATGTGGACAACCCCTTGCACTCCTTTCCTGGGACCACACTTAGCCAGGCTGTGCTTTCTTTTGGGACTCATGAGGTGTTCTGTTCATATTTTGAAAAATTAACTATTTTACTGAGAACTGACTGTTAGCTATCCAATGGAACAGGAGCCAAAACACACGCAAAACCATTGAAATTCTGTCCCTAGTGAAGACTTCAGTGGGGCCAGGATTTTGCCTTGTTTCCTTTTGCTCGTCTGTCTGGTCGCTGTTGCAGTCCAGGAGCAAGTTTACATTTTCCATCAGCACCTGAGATAAGCTTCTAGCATGAACAGGGTATATAGTTTCAAATTATTCATGACTATTTATCCGCATAAATTAAAATGAATGAGAGCACAGAGGCAAAGCGCCCTAATGTTTAACTGTGACACCCCCTCCAGGATTGTTTTGGACCTCTCAAATGCACTCTACTTCTAGAGTTATGCTTTTTACTGTCTCGCTAGGTTAAAATGGGCTCTTCATTATGCAGTAGCAAACATGGATAGCATATGAAAATTATTTTCTTTGTGAGAACTTGTGGAATACAAATCTTAATCTAACATCTGGGAGAATTTGAGTATTACTCAGTTGGCGGCTGTATTTTTTTTCCTGGTGCTCATTAACAGTTTTATGAAAACTAAAGTTGTTTAAATGGGATAATCAAGGCAGCTGCTTTGCACAGAGTAAAACTTCAGGGAACATCATTTTCCCCAGAAAATTGAATACACATTTATTTTGCCTTAAAAAGACAATTGTATTTGCCCAGGCCAGTTACTACTGAGGGCATGAATATGGTTTTTAAAACTAAATTGTTCACATCTTTTGCTCTTGGCTTGTCTCACACAATGAGAAGAACTTATGTCTAGAACTAGACTAACAATCAGCAAGCAAGATGTAATTTCTTCTAGTTAAAGTGCCCGAGAGTGCAGTTTCTGTACCATGCATCATGGCATCTCAAGATCAACTTATCTAATAATTAAAGGCACTAAAAGTGTAAAGAAACAGTTCCACTAAAATGTGGTGATAATATCTGTATAAAATGGCTTTGGGTGAGATCACTGTTTAGTCAAGATGAAATTGAATTTAAGAAGGCATCCAGTTGCTTTTATTGTGCTCCAGCAACTTTGGACAACTCAATGTATGTAAAGTCTCATGATAATACCCCCAAGATTGAAGATACCAAGGCTGGAAACATAATTGGTTAAGAGAAAGAAAAGTTTATATATTTTTTTAAATCTTCAAACTGTTTTACTTGATTTAAAAAACCCCTTTAGTTAGTAACATGGAAAAAAAGACTTTGAACATATGACAGTTATTTTGCCTGACTCTGCTCAGTACACAGGTGAGCAGTCTGGATTTTGTACATGACAAATGGAACACTCAACAGTAGACATACTCTTCTTGCATAAGCCACAGTTAGCTGTCAGTTTCTCCATGGACATTTTCCATGTGAACTTTGAGGTAGTCATTTCTTGTAAACTTCTTGTGGCAAAGCTGGCATTCAGCCATTGGACGATTGGGATTGTGCGTCAGTTTGTGTCGGATCAACATTTTCTTCAGGCTGAAGGATAAATCACAAACCTAATGCAGGAAAAACAAGACAAAATAACTACATATAAAAATCCTGAAAGTGGGCAAGACATTTTATTTATTTTAAATAAATGCAATGATAATTGAGTTCTTAGCTCATGTCTTCCGTTTTGCAAATAAAGGGAGTTGGTTTTTGAAAAGTTGAGCATTAAGTTATATGGCTCTATTTCTTGTATCTTTGTAGTTTAACAGTTGGCAACATGGGAATTAAAATAAACAAACCACATACCTGGAAGCAGCAAGGAATTTACTTTGTGCACAGTTATTGAACTCAATGCCTTCCTTGTCCTTCTAAAGAATTGCATTGAAGTGGACAGGATTGCTCTTATGGGTGAAGTACTCATGTGTACATGTTTGCAAAATTAGGCCCTAAATGTATATATGTCTTGCATATTGCAGATTCACCAAAGAAGCCCAATATAATAATTGAACAAAACGTGTTAATTGACAAATTTAGCTTTCCTGCACAGAACACTCCACTTGCAATTTCTTCCAAATGATTTATCAGCTTTCAAGGACTTCAAAAACTCTGTGTAGCTTGTACAGTGTAGCTAGTTGTCATATGAAAGAAGAACTACATTGTTCACATGGTGCTATTTCTGTTCCTCCTCCACCTGCATAGCTTCTATAGAGTGGATCTGCACCCATTCCATTTGCCTCCCATTTGTATCTACTTCCTGTATATCTGCCAATTTTCTGGCCTGGGCACTTGAGCTGCATTTGAACCTAAAAATACTCCAGTTGGGAATAATCCACAGAGACCCTAGTGCTCATTCAGTAGTCCCTTAACTGAGCTTCTGAAACCCTTTTTCATGTTGAGTAGTACTGTACTAGTAAATGTCACTGCAAGAAGTCAAGAAAGAAATACTCCTATAACCCCATAGCCAACAACTGAGAGAAACTCACTGTGTGGATGCTTGCCTAGAATCCTTTTCACAACACTTTGGAACCAAATTAGACATATAGAGGCAAGTATGAATGAAAGGCACTGCACTTTCAAGTACTTGCTATGTATATACTTTAAAGGACTTTCATTGTTGTGACAAACAAAAGAACATTTGTACAGAAAGCACATTGTTTTGTCAGCAAATTCTGTATTCTTCATGCTGTAAAGGTTGTCAGAGGTAGATTGTTCTCACTCATGAAATAAACTTCATGTGCATGAACATGGAGTAGAATCACAATACTGTTCCTCTTAACTAATATAAGCACAGCAATGTGCAGAACAAAATGAGGTTGGCCAGCAACCAAAGGCCCCTTTATATATTTCTGTTCAATAGACACTTAGCTTAAAACACACATACTAGGAATTTGGGCATGATTATCCTAGACATAGTTAATTTATTATTCCTGCTATAATTTTTATCTATTGTAGTGTATAGTTTTAAGAGCAATGTCAATAGGATGCCACAGAAATAGGACTCTTAGCTCTACATACATAAAAGACCGCTGAAGTTTAATGGGAATAGAAGGATGACGGGAAATAGTAATTAATAAGGGGAAGTGAAAGAACAAAAGGGAACAGTGGCAGCTAGTTAAAGAATGGAAAGAGGGAAAAGGAAACTTAACTGGCAATAAAATATACTAACACTGAGGAAATACTATCGGCCAGTGGAGAAAAAGGAACGAATACACATACAAAGCAGACAGACAAACATAGTAAGCATTTATTTAAATTTCATGGAAAGTTGTTTAAAAAACAGCGTGCTGAAATACATACACAGAGGCTACGTCTACACTGTCCCCTTTTTCGGAAGGGGCATGCTAATTTTGAAAGTGGGAATAGGGAAATCCGCGGGGGATTTAAATATCCCCCCGCGGATTTAAATAAACATGTCCGCTGCTTTTTTTCTGGCTTGGGGAAAAGCCGGAAAAAAAGCATCTAGAGTGGCCCGATCCTCCGGAATAAAGCCCTATTCCGGAGGATCTCTTATTCCTACTTCGAAGTAGGAAAAAAAGCCGCGGACATGTTTATTTAAATCCGCGGGGGATATTTAAATCCCCCGCGGATTTCCCTATTCCCACTTTCAAAATTAGCATGCCCCTTCCGAAAAAGGGGACAGTGTAGACGTAGCCAATGTGAATCCAGACCTTGATCTCAGAATAGTAGCCTGCAGTCTACAGTACATGAGCACACTAGCTGTGTCATGATACAAAAATGCTTCTCCTGCATAAGGTTTCACAGTAAGCGCTCATTATTATTAATTTGTATTGTTGTAGCATGGGGAGGGGGAGTTGGATTCACTGTATTAGGCTTTATGCCACCAGTTTGTATCTAAACCATAGCAAGAAGTTCTGTTGCCATCATTTTAAGAGAGACTGATTTTGCATATCCAGTCTCAGAAATTAATTGTTCTGTTTGAAGGATGGCTTAATTTTTGTTTTGAAAGACTGCAGGTATAGTTTTACATACTGACTTTTCTCTTGGTATTCTGGAATGCACATGTGGATTTCTTACGTGGTAACTTTTTAAAGCAAGTATGGCCTTGTAGTGACTGAAGAGTGAAATTTGTTGCACTCTTGGACTAACTGCAGTCCTGGGATCACAGACATCCACCTTCAGCACCTTATCAGTATGGGACAGTATTAGCCATGGAATTCACCACAAGAGAAGTGGAGTTGTAAAGCTGCAGTTGTAGCAACTAGTGATGGTGCGGTTTCCCTCTGACTCCAGTCTGAGCAGTTCAGGATGTTTATCTTGATAGGTTATTCTCACCTGGACTATAATTGCTTTATGCCAATTAAGGAGAAGTCCCAGGATGGTCAGAGAAAGGGGCAATAGTCTGTATCCAAAATAGCATATGTACTAGTCTTTTTTGGAAAAATAAGTTATTGCAATGAAGCATTGTTAAATATAGGAGATGGAACAGTGCTGACCTTTGAATAGCAAATGTGGTGATCAAGCAATTATCTCTTTACCCCAGGCAACCAGAGAACCTTGCATCCCCTAAAATTACAAGTCATTATAGAGGCCATTGTTCTGCTCTGATATTGTTACAGTGGCTTTTGCTGATCTCTTGTTTTCTCCTACATTCTCATACAACCCAGGAAGTAACCTTGTAGCTCTCAAGGTTTGAGAACAGTTTGTCCAGCTGTGATATGTTTTGCTGAAAACACATGCACCTACACAAATCTTTATTACAAAAATATCCATTACCATTAACATTTTAATCGTGATAGCCATAAACCCAGTCAGATATTACACACACACTATTTGAATATTTCCATGAATACAACACAGTGTGTCAAATTCACCTTTGAGTAAGTAATTTCTAATGAATCCCCATTGTCTAGCGACCACAACTTAACAATGGCAGATTGTCTGCCATAAGAGAAGGATAAACTGCTTAGAGGCACAGGTTATCCTATGTTAATTCCTCTTGAAATTCAGTGATGGCAAAATTCCATACAAAAATAAGAGAGCATTACCAAGATTAAAGCTTAGAATGAGGCCACAAAATATAGGAGTGCTAAGAATAAGCTTAACCAGTCAGAAATATTGCTTTAAACTGCAAATGAAATTCACCTAAAATGAAATGCACCATTTCCTGATTTCTGCTACAGTTACATATGGGGGGGGGGGGGGGAGGAGGAGGAGGAGTTGAGCGCTACAGGCTGGAGAAAGGCAAGCCAGGGCCAGAAATACTTCCCCACCCAGCAGGGGGAGGTAGCAGCTCTGCACACTGCCACCAAGCTCCCCCTACCTGCCATCTGGGGAAACAAAGTGCTGCCTGGAAGCTTTTTTCCCCCGCACTACTCTGATTGGCTTTAATTATGGCCAATAGGAACAGCAGGGGTTGGTGCCTAGGAGTGGCAGGGGACAGAGCCCTGTGCATCCCCAGGGAGCCGTGCCAAGTAAGTGCCTCCCTACCACCCACACTCTCTATACTCCCACCCCTGTACTCCCAAACCCTCCACCCTGCTCCTGCATCTCTTCCCACATGGACTCCACACTTCCACTTCGCTCCTATACCCCCTGTTGCCCAGACACCTAACCTCCCACCTTGCCCACTCCTGGCACCCCTTCAGTGCCATACTCCCCACCCCTGCCTTACTCCTGCACATCCCTCCCACCCAGACCCTGCTCCCCCACTCTGCTCCTGCACCCTCCTTCCCAGACCCCAAACCTTAAGTTCATTTCCAGGCAGCCCTCTCCCCCATACTCAACCCCTCGTTTTGGCCCCAAGAGCCTAGGGTTTCCCACAAAATCTACTATTCCTACTCCACCCTCCTCCCCCGCCCCCTCACCAGGCTCTGGTGTGAGGGGGAAACATGGGGAGAGTACTTCTGTTTCTTAGTTGAAAGTTTTTAGTGAGGGTTTTTTCTTCTCCGTTCTGTGCAGTCCCCAACTGATTTTTTTCCTGTGGATCAGAGACCCTCGCCCCCCGACCTAAAAAAAATTCCCTGCTCCTCTAGCTCATCATCAATAGATCTTAATGTGTACAAAGGACAGACATTTCTATTATTATAGGTGGAGAAAGTGAGGAACAAGATCACACTGCAGCTCAATAGCAGACCTAGGATGTGAATCCACATCCCCTACGTCTAGGACGTGAATCCACATCCCCTACATCTAGGACCACTGCTCCTTTACATAGGAATCAGTGTTGCCTAGTGGGGTGCTGAATCAAGGCCTAGAACTCTAGAGCAATTACCCTAAGTTTTTATAGTTATATAACCTTAATAAGATGTAATATATTAAAGTTATAATACTAGATCGCATCATTGTATGGCCCCTGAAAATGAAATAGTGTGTCATTTTCAGTGGCCTTACAATGATGCGATCTAGTATTACGTGTTACAGGCTTTGCTTCAAGGCCCTAAACCATTCAACTTGCTGCCTGTTCAGAAAGTAACAGAGACCACACAGTATAAAAAAAATCATTACTTGTTTATATGAGCCTTCTTGTCATGCTTTCAGTGGGAATGTAAAATGGTTAAAGAGTTTGCTTTTTAATTTCCATTTTGTAATGAACCTGTTATGTTGTATTGATTTTCAAAGATTCCTGCGATACGCTCACAGGAACCTTCATGCAATCTCATCACAATGATGAATGTTTTGATTTAGTGTGAAGGTTGCTGACATCTGACACATGAGGGTATGTTTAGGATCAACTGTAAGCACAGCGTGAAGAGATTGTACCTCACTGGAAATAAACCAGGATAGGCAATGCATGCCCGTCTAGGCCCTGGAGAAACAGCTGTTGCTTATAAAAGCAACTACAGTTCATTTGTCTTTTAGATAAAAACCTGCATATCTTCAGAGGGCAGAGACCATTTAAAACAATCTCAATTCCAGGATAGTCCATTTTTTCGCCTGTAGAAGATAGGCTAAGTTTCCCCTTGTAGTACATGGGAAGCTGATTTCCACTAATATTAATGAAATCAGTTTGGGATTCAACTTCAAGCCATTACACTTATGAAGGTGGAATAATAAAAAACCTTGGCAATATTTTAGATTAAAAAACTAAGCTGATTTCAAAATAAACATAATATACTAATCAAAAGTAGTGAATGGATTACTTTGACTCACGAAAGTGCAATATCATAATGGCTATCACATTTTCTTGGGGGGGGGGGGGGGGGGACCGTTTTTTTTTTTTTTTTTTAACATTGTTCCAGAAGGCATACAATGTTTACCCACAAGGAACATTTTCGAAGGTAAAGATGCATCAATTATTTCTGTTAAAGCATTTTTATGTGAAAAGGCTTCGATTGCCTTTATTTCAACAGAGGAAACCTGATCTTGTTTAACCCTTTGGCACTAGAGGCATTTCCTGGTGCTCAATGCTAAAGTCATTAGTATTAACAATGGTAAAGCGGGACACCTACAATAAAAGGGTTATTTAAAAGGCATTGAATAGTCATCATGAGTGCTCTTGATACCAGGTAAGAAAATCAGTCATTCCAGACTTCCCCTCCCCCCAATCAATATGAGCACTTATACATCTGAAATTGTAAATATCACGGTCTCCGAAAGAAACAAAAATTGGTTGTGCCTTAATAGGATTTTTTATAAGCCTGACTACTAGAACTACTGTAGCTCTATTGGACTACTCAAGGAGTTGTTAGAACTGTCCCTATATGACATCTCAGCCTTGATCCCCGCATACCCAAAACCATTTTATAAAAAGGACTCAATGAGTATAACACATATGACTCAATGTTACTCTATCCTGGATGCTTTCAATGCATAATTAACCTATGGAACTCATGGAATCAAGAGGTATTTGAGGTCAAGAGCCTGGTCATTTTTTTAAATAGCTAATGAGAATATCTATAATTATCTTAGATATGACTAACAAAAAATACAAATAATATCAATTTGCATGTTTCAGTGCATAAGCCAACCAGTAACTTGATGGGAAGACACTTCTATGGGCAGATTATCCACTTCAGTGTTTTACCCTCCGCTGCTAGTGTGGCACTGATAGATAAATGGCAATGAAGAGTAATTTGAGTAGATGGGACAATCAATGTTTTTTTAGAATACTGAATGGAAAAAAAAGGAAATGGAGTACCACCAAAAATAAACCCATCCCTTTGGGGAAGGTCCATTTTGAATGGATTAAGTTTTAGGTTTTTAAGATAGAGAAGCCTCTGATTAATCATGCAAATATAGGGGACTGCTGAAAACTGTAAAAGCATTGACAATGACCGGAATTAAGGCAGTCCTATATAAACTGGAATAGGATTGCTCCAACAGAACACTGTATGCGCCACTAAGAGGGATTAAATATCAGTAGATGTGTGTATTATTTGAGATGTTGCCATTAATGCAGCCAGTTTGCTCCTTTTAAGCATAGAAGGCTAGAAACACAGAACTAATTGGAAAGACAAAATATTTTTGGCAATTGTAAAGAGATTTCAAAATAAATAAATTGTGGTGGCTTAGAATACATTTTTCCAATCATAACTGAACCTGGGATTGATTGTAACAGTGTCATTTGGAAAAGGATTAATCTTGCACTTGTTTGACTCTTATGTTTCTATATATTTAATTAGATCATACAAGTCACGATGTTCACTGACCAATCTGAAATCTATTATAATTTTCTCCACACTTTTGGCTTACAGAATCACAGTCTCGTCCAGGTAAAATTACACAGTCTTCTGAGCACACAAACCCCAGTAAGTCCCACATGCTGACTTTGCACTGGGCCAGCACATTGAAGGGGCAAGACTTGACCAAACCAGGGCTAAAAATGGGGGAAATCTTCATATTAGGGACCTAAGGATTGGCTATGGGTTACATGTAAATTTCACGGGTGCCACATATCTTCTCTCCATGCAAGATCTGTGCATCCTGCTGGGAGTTATTCTTACTTTAATGTTGAAGTAGCCCCTTGTATTGTCCAGTCAAGAAGTTTAGAGTGAGAAATTCCAGCTCACATTTCATGACTATCAATTTTCCAAAGTTGGGTGATTCAGCACTCTCACAAGCAAACTCCATGCACAGGGACTCTATACCATTTATTATATACCTAGACTTTAGCAAGGCATTTGGTACGGTCTTGTATGATATTCTTATCAATAAAATAGGCAAATACAATTTAGATGGGGCTACTATTAGGTGGGTGCATAACTAGCTGGATAACTATTCTGAAAGTAGTTATTATTAACGGTTCACAATCATGCTGGAAGGGCATAACAAGTGGGGTTTCACAGGGGTCTGTTTTGGGATATTCTGTTCAATATCTTCATCAACAATTTAGATATTGGCATAGAGAGTACACTTATTATGTTTGCAGATGATATGAAGCTGGTAGGGATTGCAAGTGCTTTGGAGGACAGAGTCATAATTCAAAATGATCTGAAGTAAACAGGATGAAGTTTAATAAGAACAAATGCAAAGTATTCCACTTAGGAAGAAACAACCAGTTTCACACATACAGAACGGGAAGCCACTGTCTAGGAAGGAGCACTGCGGAAAAGAATCTAGGGGTCACAGTGGACCACAGCTAAATAGGAGTCAACAGTGTGACACTGGTGCAAAAAAAAAAAAAAAAAAAAAAAAAAAAAAAAAAAAAAAAAAAAAAAAAAAAAAACAAAACACACACACGATTCTGGGATGCATTAACAGGAGTGTTGTGAGCAAGACAAGAGAAGTCATTTTTCCACCCTACTCTCTCCACTGATTAGGCCTCAATTGGAGTATTGTGTCCAGTTCTGGGCACCACATTTAAAGAAAGATGTGGAGAAACTGGAGAAGATCCAGAGAAGAGCAACAAGAATGATTAAAGGTCTAGAGAATGAGCTATGAAGAAAGACTGAATGAATTGGGCTTGTTTAGTTTGGAAAGGAGAAGACTGAGGGGGGACATGATAGCAGTTTGCAAGTATCTAAAAGGGTGTCACAAGGAGGAGGGAGAAAATTTGTTCTCCTTAGCCTCTGAGTATAGGACAAGAAGCAATGGGCTTAAACTGCACTAAGGGAGGTTTAGGTTGGACATTAGGAAAAACTTACTAACTGTCAGGGTGGTCAAACACTGGAATAAGTTGCCTACAGAAGTTGTAGAATCTCCATCTCTGGAGATATTTAAGAGCAGGTTCGATAGACATCTATCAGGAATGATCTAGATGGTACTGGGTCCTGCCGTGAGGACAGGGGACTGGAGTCGATGACCTCTCAAGGTCTCTTGCAGTTCTAGTGTTCTATGATTGTGTGATGTTACAGAACACAAAGAGCATGTTGTTGACATATTATAAAAAAAAAAAAAAACTAACTTCATCTGAGCTATTATCCAAGACATATAACTTTTAGAAATCATTTATCATTTCTCCATGTAACAAACTGACCATATGCCAAAGTTCAATCAGTTGCAATTCAGGTTTATATTAGCAGAAACTGGAAATCTGCACTCTGCTTATTCAGCAACATTACAACCATTACATGTAAAATATATATAACACATGTAATGGTTATAATGTGTGTGTGTGTACATGTATGTATATAGGTGTATGTGTATGTGTGTACGTGTACGTATATAGGTGTGTGTGTGTGTGTGTGTGTGTGTGTGTGTGTGTGTGTGTGTGTGTGTGTGTATTATAGACATTCAGATTCCACTATAATATTGTAAATGATATTCCCATCCAGGCTAATCTCCGGGTATTAACTTGTCAAAGACTTATAAATGAACAAAAGGTGTGACTCAAATGGTAATGAATTTATACTGCACAAAATCCAAATTTCATTAAGAACGGTGCAAACAACTCTTAAGGGATATGAGCCATAAAATAAACATGTTCAGGGATGCTCTTGGCAACACGAGAGGCTATATAAAACTTGAGTGATATCTCATTACTTAAGCAACCGAAGACCATAAAACAGTTTTAGTTTATGCTATTGCATGTAACTGCAAAGTGAATATACATATAGGCTAGTACTCCTATGGAAAATAAAGTCTGACTCCAGGACTGAATTCAAGAAAGAAAGCTCAACTCACATCACACTGGAACGGTTTCTCTCCAGTATGGGTCCTCATATGCTCATCTAGGCCTCGTTTCTGACTGAAGGCCTTGTTGCACTCGGAGCACTGGTATGGCTTTTCCTGTATGGAATGACAACAGTGAGTGAAAGTGAGTCAACACAGAGCACAAGTCATTAAAGGAGTGGAATTCTCTGCTGGATGGTGCAAGTTTTATATTCTCTCTAAGGGATCGCAGTCAGTGAAAAACAACAGAAAATGAGTTTCAAATGATTAAGTGAAAGCTGGGAAAGCTGTGGCCTGACAGTTTCCACTTCCACACCCATTATGAATTAATTATCCTTTTCAGTCTTTCAAATGCAGCAGTTTTGGGGGTCTGTTTTTCCATAATGTTAAAGGCACAAAAACTTAAAATCCCAATGTACTTTCCTTATTCCTTTATAAAAAGTTAAAGCATAAAGACAAGTGAGATCTATTTGACCCTCAGGATTTCTATCCAGTTTCTTCTGGGGAGTAGGAAGTAGGGAGGAAAAATCTCTTAAAATTTTGGTGACAGAAGGCTAACTCACAGAACCACCAAGCCCTCTGTATCTTCACTGGCACTAATGGTTAGTGGCTATTGTAGACCATGATTATTTATTCCAGTTAGATTTTTCTTGAACCGGTTACAAATTATTTAAGGGGTATCCACCAAGAACTGCTTATATAGTGATTTTCCTCTTCAAGGCTCCCTACAACTTTTCCAAATCTGATTGAATCAAAGACCTTATATGGGAAGTAGGGTTGCCAGATGGTTGAAACAAAAATACCCCCCCCCCCCCAAAAAAAGGGAAAAAATTCTGTCGAGAGGGAAAAAGGGGGGGGGGGGGGGGACCAAAGTTGTTGAGGGGGAAAAAAAAGCCATTTTGTGCCAGCGGCCTTGGGGTATCAGGTAAGCATGGGGTTGGGGAGATGGGGGTGTTGGGAGCCAGGAGGGAAGGCTGGGCGCTGAGTGTTTGTAGGGCTGCCAGGTGCCCAGCATTTTTGCCTCCTGGCTGGGGAAAAATTCAGAAAATACCGGACATTTTAGGTGTCCGGTATTCTCTGAATTTTTTTTTACCGGACAGGAGCTAAAAATACTGGACTGTCTGGGTAAATACCGGACCCCGGCAACCCTAATGGGAAGATGCAAGGTCTCTCATTTATAGTACTGTAGTCCAAAGGTGCAACAGAAACAATAACTGACTGAACAAATAAAAGTGACACTGCTCTTGCTGTCAATGATCCTTTTTAATGCTTTAAATACACTGAGGATCTTTCAAAGTCTACTTACTGCTAATCTTTCACTTTCATGCAAAACTTTTGTGTGGCCCAAAAGGTCATATTGTTTTTGTTTCAAAATCTGTAGATTTATTTTAGAAAAAAATTATCAGATTTTGTTTTCTGAATTAAAACAATAATAAAGTAAATTAGGAAGTGACTACAAATTCTACGTAACTTAGTAATACAAAGACACTGTTGTGACTTCATAGCTGAAGTTACAGGATATACAAAGTGTCATTTAAGGAGTGAGAAAAGTCACTTGAACACTATTCCAGTGTTTGGTCTCTGACAAACTCAGCTTTGGACTGGGGACTCTTTCTTGGCCTCATTCATCATGCTGTTACTTCAGTAGTACAGTTTCACAGAAATCAGTGGCCGAAAACTGCTGCAATACAGTAGAGAAATGAGACCTTTTGTATTAAGACACTGGAAGTAAAGTTTTGGTCCCACTGAAATCAATGGGATTTGTGCTATCAACTTCTAGAGGGCTAAGATTTCACCCTATCTGGTTTAGTGAGTTATATTTAGAAAGTTACTAAGGTATTTTGTAAGACTAACCAGTTTAACTTTTGTTTGTACTTAAACAGCTATGTTGTGATGGCCCATCTACACTACAACTGAAACAGTCAGGAGTTTTGGCTACAACATAGTTACACAAGCATACAGGGTGTCTGCTCTGCCTACAGTCCCTCTGTGCAGCTGCTGGTTTTGGGTTCAAAGGACGTGGAGGGCCTTGTGCTGGCCCACAACATCAAGCACAGTATTGGTCCTTAAAGAACACTGAAGAAACATGTTAAAGACCTGTCATTTTAAATGTTTAAATGAGAGAGTGTCGAGTAGTTCTGACATGCACCTGTTCTGAAATGTTTTCTTCGTCTCCTGAGAATCATTTGTGGTTAAAATACATTGTCTTAGAAGAATAACAAGAGTTTAGTGACAATTTGAAAACTATATAATGAATCTTTGCACCTTTTTAGAAAGGATTCTAAGCATCATAGTGTATTATTGGTAATTAATTAAAAAAATAAGAGATAATTAAAATACATTAAATGGATATACTTTCTCCCTGAAATAAAATGGAAAATTCCCCATATTGTTTCAGTCCTTCAATTGGTTTTGCAGTGTTTCTGGAGCTTACAGTCTTTGTGCACATGTGCACAAACACACACATCTGCTCTCCCCTACAAAAAAACAATACACAGCCCTAAATAGACATCTTCCCTCACATAAGAACAGAGATAAATGTGTATTTATATAGCACATGGCATTTATTTAGGAACTTACACTGAATTTTAAAACTAAGTACAACTATTAAAAAATAAGTGGAGTCCAGGAGAATAAATCAGCCTACTTAGCAGTCTGTTTGTATGCCCAGAGGGAGTTTGAAACTACTAATGCTATAAGTAACATAAGTGCCTGTGCAGTTCATAGAGATGTAAATAATGTTTCTGTCCAAATTATTTTCCAGGGTGGAGAATGTAATTCTTTACTGGCAGCTGAGGAGGAGAAAGTTTTGTAGTTCACTTTAACAAATCATATAGCATTAGTCCATTTTGGGAGATGCACTCAAATTCAGGGAGGTGAGGGGAAGAATCAATCCTCCAAGCTTATGTGATGGAATCACCGGGATACTGAGGCCTCTCCAGCTGTTGAATCCCTTGCCTGTAGTATGCAGGGAGTAGTGGCCGATTCGTATAGTGTACTGCTGCCAGGTTTGGAGCAGTCTGGCCCCAACCAGCAAAGCACCACAGCACAGGCTTCAATCTGGGAACAAGTTTTGCACTTACTAAGAACGCTTTCTCCAAGATTTCACTTTCAATGCACATAAATTGAAAGAGAAAACAAAACACACAATGTTATATACAGCACAAATGCCTGCTAGTACCTGAGTCTGCAAACAGTGACTAGTGTCTCACGGCTAAGTGCGCTGGAGGGTACTGCTTTCACACATATGTTTCTATGCTTTGTGGGTTTTTTAATCATTCTCTTACTTTTGTGGCTTGCCTGATTTTTCAACATACAAGAAAACAACTCCTGTCACAAACAATGGCCTTTTAAAAAAAATGTGCATCCAGTCCTGAAGCTTTTACGTCAATGGGAATTTTGCCGGACTGGGTAGAGACTTCACAGGCTAGGCCCTGTAATTTTGGGGGAAGCTTATGGATAAACCATATGAAAAGCAGGTTTCCATAACACACCCTTAATTGGTTTTGCATTGTGGTTAATGGAATCCACATTTTCTATAAACTCTCCGAATATTAATTCTGTGCTCCATGTAGGATACACCATAGAAAGCTTAAAATAAAACAGTACAGGTTGCATCTCCCTAAACTGGGACGCTCTGGTCCAGCAACATCTGTGGACAAGAGAGCCCTGGGCAGGTGGGCCAGCAGCTAGGAATCTGTTGGTAGTGGGGCTGCCTGGAAGCAGAGCCAGGGCTGCAGCCCCCTAACAGCAGGGCTGTGACTGTGGCAGCCCTATCAGGGCCACCTGCTTTCAGTCAGAGAGGCCAGGGCTACAGCAACCCAGCTAGCAATGGGGCTGGGGGTAGGGGTGGCCCAGCAGTGAAGCCACCGCCTTAGCAATCCAGCTGGGGCTGGGCTGCCCAACAGCAGCAGGTGCGGGTGGCAGGGAAGGGTGGTGGCCTGGTGGCAGAGGACCTCCTCTGGTCTGGCAAATTCCCTCATCCGTGACCAGTCAGGTCCTGAGGATGCCAGACCAGGTAGGTCCAACCTATACACAGTCTATACACCTGCATGGCTTATAAATTCTCCATGGCAATCACTGATCTGTCAAAACATATCTTAGTGCAAATTCTACCTCCTTTACTTGTCGCCTCTCTGCAGGTGCAGGGAATTCTACATCACTCCCAGTCAGTAGAGTACTGACACCATCACAGCGTCTCTTGCCCATTTTACAGAGACTCAAGGGTAATAGGAATGGCTGAGCTCTTTGGGGGAGACAAGGGCAGGAAGTAAGGACTCCACACCCAGGGGACACAGCAATGGGCTAAACCCACAACCATAAGACATTTCAATTTACTCTCTTAAAATTATATTAATTAACTTTTGCTGTTATTCACATTGCCCCTTGAGGAGAAAGACCTGACTGCAGAGAAGACAGCTTGCATTCTTTTAGGCATACTGTATATGTTTCAATTCACAGGAAAGATGGTAGAGACACCACAGTTCTAATCTTCTTCCTTAGATCAATTTTAAATCAGTATAAATTCACTGATGCCAGTAGACTTATTCCTGATTTACACCAGCCCCTGTATGTCTCTCCCTGCATTCAGTTCCCTATCTATCAGCCACATACAGCTCTATTATAGTGACATCAGTGGAGTTACATGTGTAAATCAGAACAGAATTGTAGCCTTTCATCTTTCTGCAAAGGCACAACTTCTCTGTCTTGGAAGAAGCCCTCACATTATAAAGTTTTTTTCCCCCAAACAAAACCAATCACCCTGTGGGAAAAAAACAAAAACCTAACCAAGTTTCTATTACAAGAAAATAGCACTTGAAGAGGACATTTATAATGTGGAAAAAGATGATGGCAAACTCCCCTCTAGATAATCTGCAGGAAAAAATTAAGACTGAAAACTAGCTACAAAGTGGAAAGAAAATAAGTGTCTTTGGAAAGAGCAATGGAGAGACTGAAGAAATTAAAAAAATGCTAAGATTTAAAGCATGAAGCAAAGGAAAATATTGCTAACTGTTAAACAAATAAACTTAAACAAAACCTGGTCTGTCAGCACTTTGTAGGCTAACAAAACATGTAGGTGGTATCATGAGCTTTTGTGGGCACAGCCCACTTGTTAA